AGTTTCTTTAACAAATACATTGCAAACACACACATACAAACATATATATATATATATAGAGAGAGAGAGAGAGAGAGAGAGAGAGAGAGAGAGATTTATCTCAAGGAAATGGCTCATGCAATTGTAGAGGCTGGCAAGTTCCAAGTCTGTGGTCAGGCATCAGGCTGGAGGCTTCTCCTGACTCATGTAGCTATAGGGGCTGACAAACCCAAGATCAATAGGTCAGATGGCAGGCTGCTGGCTCACAGGCTGCAGAGGACGAATCCCAAGATCAGCAGGTAATACAGCAAGCAGCTTGCTCAAGTCCCAAGAACCAGAGGTCAGATGATGACGAGTTGGATGCAGGATCCAGAGCAAGCAAGCAAGCTTTGCCAGAATGTCCATATATATATTGGATACAGGCCACACCCCTGGGGAAACTCCCCTTACAACTGATTATGATCACATCAAATCACATCATGGAGGATGATTACATCATTAGATAACTGCCAAACTACATCATTATATAACTACCAAACCACTGAGAATCATGGCCCAGCCAAGTTGACACACCATCACACCTTAACCGTCACAATGACATTTCTTATAAACTCTCAGGCTTATGGGATGTTAGAGATGGAAAGAACCTTAGAGGTGATCTAATAAGAATCAAGGATCAAATCTGAAACTGCAGTGGGTTTAGTAATGCCTCCTAGGATATAAGCTCCAGTAGTGTAGAGACCTTGGCTGTTTTTCTCTCCAGCCATGAGCATCCACTAAGTCAATAAATACCCGTTAAATGAGTGAATGAATATTAGAGGGGTCTGGACAGTGTGAGTTGTAGGAAGCTAAGCTAAAGATTTTCTAGCCCTGGTCTTGTTGGCCAAGGCAATGTGGGCACATGGAGGGGCTCATTAAATAATGGTGACCGAATGAAGTGATGTCAATTTTACCATTTGCTCTGGTATTTTAACACAGTTTTGTGTGTTTGAATTTAGATGTGTATAGACCTTGTTTATTATATTTTTAAAAAATTCTTTTTGCAGAAGTAGACAATGTGGCACAGTGTCACATTCAGCTTGCACACACTCTAAGAGAAGAGGCGAGGAAAATGGAAGAATTCAGGGAAAAGCAAAAACTGCAACAGAAAAAGGTTGGTTTTGCATATGTGTTAAGATGTTGCCTTTCCTCCTGCAGACAATTCCAGGTTTGTTTGTTCAGTGAACTCCTTGGTTCGACTCCTACCCATCATGAAACCATGCTCTTCTTTTAACCTAAGATTACTTGTTGGGAACCACATGGGTATGCTTTTGTGCCCATTCTGCATCCCAGGACAGTTCACCTTTTTAAAATTCTTATAGGATTCCAGGGGTCAGCCTGCTTTCTTCTTCTTTTCATATCTGCTGCCACTATTCAAACTCTGGCTGGAAAGGAGAATCCGTATGTCTTTTGTAGAGTCTAGCACATCCGAGCTGAGTGGCTCCCAGACCACACTCCTCCACCTGGAAGGGCATTGAGTGAAGGGTGAAGAGGTGGAGGAGACTCATACTCTCCCTGGAGACCATAATGCAGTCCAACCACTCTATTTTCCAAACGGGGAAACTGAGGCCCTGGGACATTCCAAGTCTTTTTTGTCTTTAAAGCAGATGTGTATAGGCACTTTTTCATTGGTGGGGTTTTATTCTGACCTACTACATGGAAGGAGATAGGAGTTAGCAAGAATTAACAAACCTGGCAAACATTTGGGAAGTTGAAAGGATCAAGAAAAGAAGTCCAGGTTTATATTAAAGTGTTACTTAGACTAGACACTTTTCTGATTCTTTTCTATTTAGTTCCTAAAAGACATGTATATTCAGGCTGGACTGTGGCCATGTAGGGCCCTTCCAGAATCTCTTTCCTAATCTGGTCTCCAGGGATGGAACCCTGCCTTCATGTCAGGGCCCAAATTTTTCATATCTGGCATCCAAAAATTCCTCTCCCAGGTCTCCCTGATAACTCTGAATGGACTTTTGGTGACCACCTTCACCCTTCCTGGAGATCCTTCTGGAAACTTTTCCTTATCCTGGCCCTTTATTGTCCTTTGGGGTGGTTGTCTGCAGTGTGTATATCCAGTAAATAGCCAGCTGTTAAAGCTGATTCTACCCTTAGCTTAATCTCAGCATTTTTACCTATGGTTATAGGGCAGAGTCTAGTTCCAGCTTCTTGGCATCTGGGGTGGGTGGCAGCATCTTAAGAGCCTGATTGCCTTACATCTACTGTCTTTTTATGAGCTGCTCTTAGCAGTCTCTTCTCATTTTCTGGCCTGCACTTGTGCTGCCCCTCTTACTTGGAAGGAATAGAGGTAACTAACATTCATGGAGCACTATATCAAGTGCTTTCATGCACACTCTTAAGGTTCATGTACCAGGTTTGAAAGGTGCATCTACTCCTAACCATTTTTAAAAATTTTTTATATAATTTATTTTATTTTTTGTTGTTGTTGTTGAGAATATACACAGCAAAACACACACCAATTAAACAGTTTCTGCATGTACAGTTCAGTGACACAGAGTACATTATTTGAGTTGTGCAACCATTCTCACCCTCCTTTTCTGAGTTGTTCCTCTCCCATTAACATTAACTCACTGCCCCCTAAGTTTCCTATCTAATCTTTCGAGTTGCTGTTGTCAATTTTATCCCATGTAGATAGATCTTAAAGGAGCACAGTGCTCAAGGCACACATTCTTTACTGGTTAAGATAAACAGTTTTAAGAAGACTTCAGGGGATATTTTTGGTTTAAGGTTTATGGTTTAAAGCTTATTTCAGGGCAATAGTTTTGGGAGCTTATCTAGCCTCCATGGTTCCAGAAAGTCTGGACTCCATAAGAATTTGACATTCTGTTCTGCATTTCCCCTCCTTTGATTAGGATTCTTCTATAGAATCTTTGATCAAAATGTTCAAAGACGAGCACCATCCAATTCTTCTGGTCTCATAGCAAAAGAGGTGATTGTTCATGGAGACAGTTAGCTACACATTCCATTTCCTCCTCCTATTCCTGACTCTCTTCTTCCTCTGTTGCTTCAGGTGAATCCTAACTACTTTTTTAGAGCAGAAATAGCATGTATATTATACCCATAGCTGGGTCAAACCCTTTTGGGCTGACATTGCCAGCTTTGCCCACTCTCTGGAAGAATTACAATATTTTAAAAGGACAGTGCCTTAGACAACCAGACAGAGTCTGTGCACACATGATTTCCACTAAGAGGGAAGGAGGGTCATTTCTTCATGTTTTCAAGAACCACTGGTAATCTTGGTCATTTCAGGGAGAGTTTTGCTAATTTTGCAAGCCTTCTGAAACTTCCCCTCCTAACAAGTTACAGAGTGCAAATTCACATAGTTAGAACACCCTGAATTTTGTTAGGCAATAGAGTAGCCTATGGTCAAGCCACCACTCTCACCCAAGTTCCCTATTTTCTGCATGCTCACCACAACAGGAAAGTTCCTTCAGAGCTTTCTTTAAGTCCAAAGTTTATTAATAAATTTGTTATTACTTGTGTCACAGCAAACTCTGGGTTGTACCATTTTCATGTTTAGGTGTTATTTTTTCTTTAAATCAAACTTTGAGAGAAAATGTATCAGTGCTAACTTCTGGTTTTCCTAGTTAAACCCTACATCCTCTGGTCTTTTACTTCTTGGAAATTAAGCTATTTCCAGACATCAGGAAAAGCTTCCGTTGGTTTCTTTTAGTAAACTAAGTGTGGGAGGCATGGGTGGGATGACTGGTCAGAAAATTTATGCACATTAACTCATTCATCAAATGTAGACATGGCCATCCTTCCCTCACTAAGCTTACAGTATGGCTAGAGAGATGGACATGAGACAGTAATTCTGATATAAAGTGTGATGAGGCTTGTATGATAGGGGAATGAAGGTGCCACCTGAACATACAGTGGTGACACCTAACCTCATCTACAGGGCTGGGGGAGCCCTTCTGGGGGCAGTGACATTGACGCTGAAAGCAGCAGAATGAAAGGCAGTGTAGGTGAGGGGGTGAGAGATAAAGCTGTCTCTCTTGGGGGCCGGCAGAGTAGAGAGGATCTTAGGAGCCATCCTCAGGGGTCTTGACATTTGAGGGTGCTCACTTTCCTCCCCTAGCCTGAACGTCCTTACGCAGGACAACGCACGGCCAGTTGCTGTCTCCTCTGGTACCCACATCCTGTTTTATCATGTCGGCTATGATTGAAGTGATCACAGCAGAATTTTGTGCCACTTGTGTAGAGAACCATCCCCAAAGAAAGGAACCTCCTTGGTTACAGGGAGCATTTCCCTGTAATACAGTGTGAGTATGGGTAGACTGACAAATGGGTCACAGGGCAGCTATTTCAGTAGTTTACTGCAGGGTCATTTGGGTCATTGGCAAATCTCTTTTTCCTCTTCCCCTCCCTCTTGCTTCTCCTTACCCTATAGCAGAGCTGGTTATGCTCCTCTATGTTATCAATAATAAAGTGCAATCAAATTCCATTGAACTTGGTCTGAGTAGAAAGTCTCAGAGCCCTGGAAGCAACACTTTCCCAAGGAGACCTGAAAGAGAATTCTTGACTCACATGGGGTCACAATGAATAGGTCACCCAATAAGTGAACAGGGGCATGAGGAGACTTAAATCGAGGTGGTGTAGCAGACAGAGCTGGGCTTGGCATCTGAAGGCTAGTTCACTAACTCACTGAGTGGCCTTGAGCAAAGAATATCACCTCTGGGCCCCAGGGGTCACACCTGCCAGGCTAGAGGGTTGGACTGCTACTCTCTTAAGAATCCTGCCCACTTTCAATTGTCAGGAATCCCTAAAGACAGAGGGAGGAATGCTATGAAGTAAAAAGGTGTGGCTGATGATGGAGATTTGCAGCCACGTGGGAGGTGCTTGAAGTAGGCATTATGTGGGACTTGGAGATAAGGAGTCCAGGCTTGTGCCACAAACTATAGAATAGTAGCAGCCCCCAAATGGATGAATGACAGTGTGTATATTCAGACTAGAAAGGACCATGAAATAGATCAACATTACTAATTAACCTGGTCTGTGTTATCTGGGAAAATCAGGAACTATTATTAAATAAATAAACCCTGTTCCTCCTCCTGGCAGAGAGACACAGTTGCTCGTGTGAACCAGAGCTCCCAGTCTGCGATTCCAAGGATCTGCCCGTGTGTCTTTCCATGGGGTACTCGTATCGGAGTTCTGTTTTCTATGTCTATGGTGTCTCCCCATTACAAACTGCATGGTCACCTCCAGACCCCTCACTTTTAGCTGGGCTGGAAGATCACTGCCTGGTTTGCTGAGGGCATATTTGAAGTGAGACCATCCCAAATATTCCATCTAGATGTCCTGAGAATCCATCTAACCATGTTTGTGTATTACGGTAATAGAAAATCTTAATTTTATGTACCCAGAAGAAAGAGAAACTACATCTGAATTTCATTTTCAATGTTATTATTTTGTATTATAGCGTTTTTGCACAAAAGCAATATCATTGCTCATTTTGAATTATTGCATGTCTCGATCTTTTACACCTCTCTTTGGTTTTATAGAGCTATCATAAGAATAATGGTATTTTAAGGTAGTAATTAGAAACAAGGGCACTGGTTCTTAGATTCAAATCCCAACTCTTCTGCTTGCTTACTGTGTTACCTTGAGTAAATTAATCAACATCAGTTTGCCATCAAGAAAATGGGGATAAGAGTACTCACACAGTTGTTGTGACATATGGAAAACTGCTTAGTACATAATAAGGGCTTGATAAATGGGAACTATTATTGCATCTGAGAGGTACACTTTTTATTAGTTCCATTATTTTGACTAATGAAAGTACTGACACCCAACCATAGCAAATAAATTATTCCCAGGTGAACTCGACAGAGGAGGCTTCCATTGCTGCATTAAAAACCAGTTGCCGTTGAGTCAGTTCCAACTCATGGCGACCCTATGTGTGTCGGAGTAGAACTGTGCTCTATAGGGTTTTGAATGGCTGATTTTTGTCAGAAGTAGACTGCCAGGGCTTTATTCCGAGGTGCCTCTTGGTGGACTCAAACCTCCAACCTTTTGGTCAGAAGCCAAGCACATTAACCGTTTATACCACCCAGGTTCTCCTTTCCTGCATTAGAAGGAATACAGAGTAGCACAACAGCTTTTCTTAGCTGCCCTACAGCCATTGATTCTTTTCATGCTGCCTGGGCTCCTTGCTGGTAAAGTATCACTGATGAATATCACAGAAGCAAACATTTATAAGTCTCTGATAACTGTGCTGATGTAAGTTTACAGAAAACAAGCCCCTTTTAAAATATAAATGGTGCTTTAACAAAAGTTTTAAAATCTCTTTCTGAAACCAAAGTTCCTTAAGACCTGATTTACTGCAGAGACTGCTCTAAGGTGATTAAGGAGCCTCTGTGGTGTCAGACTGCCAAAATTCAAAGGCGGGCCCCACCATTACTAGCCAAAAGATCCTGGGCAAGTTGTGTAGCCTCTCTGTGCTGCAGTTTCCTCGTTTGTAAAATGGGGGTTAAAAATGGCACACCTACCTTATGTGAGGACTAAATGAGATAACCCATATCAAGGACTTAGCCCTCAATCACAATTTTAGCTGGTAGTAATATTTTCTGTTTTCATTATTAATGGTACTTGTTCTCTCTTCACAGACAGAGCTTATAATGGATGCTGTCCATAAACAAAGGAGCTTACAATTCAAGAAAACCATGAATGTGAGTCACACTTTCTTGGCGTTTTTTTTTTTTTTTTGTAATGGTGACATTCTCTGAAATCCTGTGCCGTATATGAGCATATTCCTATTCAAATAGCATTCCAATCATGTTATTATCTACTAGTGTGGTGTTTTAGAGAAAACAACCTTTAGTGGTTTAGCTTTCCTTCCTTTTAAAGGCCTTGGAAGGATGACATCAGATAGTGGGAACACAATGAAGTTATCTTTCTGGTAACCTTGAGAAGTACAGCAAGTCAATTTAAACATTTTAGTCCAAGGCACAAAGGCATATATACTGTATGATACCATTTATCTTGCTGAATTTTTTCTCTGTGACTCTGTTGAATCTTGATTTCTCACTTATTTTACTGAGTGACTTCTTGTCTTATGATATCTGCAAATTGTAAAAGCCTGCTTTCCTTTACTTTAAGTAATTTATAACAAAGGCTTAATAAGACAGCTAACACAAGTTGCTCCTGTTTGTTGCAACTCTGTTAATCTCTAGATACAATGAACTCTCTTATTGGAACATCTATGACTCCATCTTTGTACAGAGGTATCATCAAGATACTCCATGACTATGACACAGATCCCGTAACCCAGTCCGAAAAGAAAATACCACCAATGTTGATGGCATACACAGTCTGTTCTGGTGCAAGGTGCTTTTCTTTGATGCAGATCATTTCATAAGCGACTGATAAATACAGAATGATGTCATGTGATAGAGAAATATTGTTAGATAATACATGATTTCCCCCCCAGACATTTATGTTTTGAAGCAATATGGGGCAAGCTTTCTCACAATTAAATAGAAAGACTTATTGTGTGATGACCTTAAGAAAAAGATGAAAAACCTACAGAAGAGCCTTCCTTTAGTGAAGGAATGGCTGGTTTAGTGGCTTCGAGAACAGCCGTGCTTTTCAAGATGTTAAGCTTGACTGTGGAAGCAGATGAAGGAGCTATAAAGACATTTTTTCCTGTGTTAAAAAACAAAGATTAATGAAGAAGTCTAGACTTTAAATTTTATTTTCCTGTAAGTCCTGTCACTTATAGTCTGAAATTTTGCTGAACATGAGGTTTTTTTTTTTTGGAAAGCAGATATGGTGTTACAGCAGAAGTACTTTAGTTTACAAAACTATGCCTTCTTTAGCAATTGCCACTTTATTTTTCTAAGGACTCAAAAATAACTTTAGTAATATCTTCTGCGTTTTTTTTTTTTTTTTTTGGTTGGATGTCAAGTTTGAGTTTTCCACACTCTACATTTTGTCTCATTTTGAGTATTAGACAAGAGGATCTTGTTTTCTGACATTTCTTCCATTCTCTGCATCTTCTCCAAGGTTACTAAAGTGCTTCAAGGCTACCTGAGGCTTCTTTCTGTAATCTGTCATATTCTACCTAGGCCTGGAGATCTGAACTTATTCCATGGTCTGGGGAACTTTTAACAGCTCTTATTTTGTCATGGGTTTCTGTTTTTCTTAAAGATATTTCTCATATCCTTCCCAGTTTGAGAATTAGTTTTCCTTTTTGGAGAAGACAGAAGCAACAAAGCAATTGCATTTTTTTTTCCCTTCCTTTCCATGTTGCTAGGCTTTAGTATCACTCATCTTCCCTAGATGATGGTCCTATCCTCTTTTATCCTTCTTGTTTTTTTAAAGTTCATTAAAAAAAAAAAAAAAAAAAAAAATCCAGTGCTAGAGGGGTGGGGCTGTATAATCTCTTTTTTAAAAATTAAATTTATTTATTTTGAAAAAAACTCAAAATTACAGAAGAGTTGCAAATACAGTCCAGAGAACTTTTTTGAATGAACTTTTTTTAAAATTAAACTTTTAATTTTAAGATAATTGTAGATTCACATGCAGTTGTAAGAAATACAGAGAGGGCCCCTATACCTTGACCCACTTCCCCCCAATGGTAATATCTTGCAAAACCAAGTAAAATATCACAACCAGAATATCAACACTAATATAGTCAAGGTGCAACATTTCCATCACCACAAGGATCCCTCATGTTGCCCTTTTAAAGCCACACCCTCTTCCCTTGTTCCCTGTCTCCTCCTCAACCCTGGTAACCACTAACAGTTTCTATTTCTGTGACTGAGTCATTTAAAGAATCTTATATATTGCATAACTCTGTAAAGATAGTAAAAACCATTGAATCATACTCTTTAAATGGGTGAAATGTTTGGTATGTGAGTTACATCTCAATAAAGCTGTTACCCCTCTTCCCCCTCAAAAAAGACAGAGAGTGTTATATAAATGGAATCATACAGAATGTAACCTATTGGATTGTCTTTTTTTTTTTTTTCCCCACTCAGCATACTTTTCTGGAGAGTCATACAAGTTGTTGTGTATATCAATAGTTGGTTCCTTTTTATTGCTGAATTGTATTCTATGTTATGGATCTACTGCAGTTTGTTTAAACCATTCACCCTCTGAAGGACATCTGGAATAACCAGGGTTTTTTTTTTATATTACAAATAAAGCTGCTATAAACATTTGTGTACAGGCTTTTGTGTGAATATTTATCTCTGGGATAAATGCCCAGGAGTGCAACTGCTGGGAAATATGGTAGTTGTATATTTAGCTTATTAAGAAATTGCCAACTGTTTTCCATAGTGACTGTACCATTTCACATTCCCACCAGCAGTAAATGAGAGATCCAGTTTCTCTACATCCTTGCCAGCTTTTCATGTTGTCGTTATTTTAAAATTTTAGCCAATTCTTATAGCTGTGTAGTGATATCTCATTGTAGTTTTAATTTGCATTTCTTTTCCTAATAGCTAATGATGTGGAACATCATTCTGTGTGCTTATTTGCTGTTTATCTTCTTAGGTGAAATGTTTCTTCATGTCTTTTGCCCATGTTCTGATTGTTTGCTTTTTAACTCTTGAGCTTTGAGAGGTTTTAAAAAAAATATTTTCTAGATACTAGTCCTTTGTCAGATATGTGATTTACAAATAATTTCTCCTAGTCTGTGGTTTGTCTTTTCACATAATTTGGAAAAGGGCTAGAAAGACCTTTCAAGATGAGTAAGAATGAGTGTCTACCTGCTAAGAATCCAAGGTTTAGTGGTGATCCCAACCTCAGTAAAGTGCCATGTTCTGTGCTGGGCTTGGTGGGCTAGGGTGGCTGCTTTTCAAGGTTGCGGTCTGTTCATCTGTTGGTTCCTAACAACGTAGGCAAAGAAGAACTACGAGCAGAAATGCCGGGACAAGGATGAAGCAGAGCAGGCTGTCCACAGGAGTGCCAACCTTGTGAACTCGAGGCAACAAGAAAAGGTGCCTGAAAGGAAATGCGTGTTGTTCAAGGGCTGATGGCCTGAAAAATCTGAGACTTACATAGATCAGGCTAAAGCCAATTAAGAATTTCAATAAAGAACAGGCCTGCACCCTAAGCCCCTTCAGGCTATTAGGGTCCCCTGAACCAGAAAAACCTTTGTCACATTGTTGGGGCTGGGGGAAGACCTAGAGAAACGTGGCCATGGGGTAAAGGGTGGGAGGATAAGAGGTGGCAAAGTATTCTGATGTTTTGCATCTTTCTGCAAAACTCAGCTCATGTATTCTTTGTGGCCAGGCTGCCTCCTCTTTGGGTGGATTATAAATTTTACAAAACATGGATACTAGAATTGTCAGCAACCAGAGGGCAGGGATGTATCTTTAGGAAGACAGAGGGCAAGATGCTTTATGGATATTTTCCAATAGCAATAAGATTAAAGGGCAAGTTGAATGATTTTCTCACGAGGGAAACGAAGGAAGGACTTGGACTAGACCTTGTCTCATCCTAGTCACTGCTCTTAAATCTGTTTTGTCTATGGAAGGCTGGCCCAGCATTCCCAATCCCTTGCTCTTTTTTGTCCCACAGCTTTTTGTGAAACTGGCGACATCGAAGACTGCAGCAGAGGATTCTGGTGAGGGGCTGATCCCACAAATGGGGGAGGGCTGGTGGTGAGGTTTATATTATCCCAGATGTTTCTCTGAGGTAATTTTATATATCTTACAGTAAAGAATGTATGGCTATAGAGTAGGATTAACCCGACGTATCAGAAGGAAGGGAGGGAGGGTGAGTGAGTATATCAGAATCCGGGAAATTGGGAAGAAGCAAATAAGGCAGCAGCTTCTAGCCACCATCTTAGGTCTTGCTGCCTTACATGTGAGTGGTGGGAGTGGTGTGTGTAGGGGGGGGATAAGGAGTAGTCATGGTAGCAGCTGCTTTGTAATCAGGTGGTCACTCTGATACTCATTTATTGTGAGCATCTATCTAAAGCATTAGAAGTTCATTTCAGCCCTGGTAACTCTTACTTGCTCTGAAAGAAATAGCCAAGTTTCGAGGCCTTACCATCACTGAAATCTAAGATCTAAACCAAGCATTTGGAATGGCTTCTAATTCTCAGCATATCTTGTAGCAAACAAGCCTCTTGTGACCGTGACCACTTAAGAAGTCTCTAAATCCCAAACTAAAGAAACTTGGTGCCCCTTCAGGGCTTGAGATAGTTCTCTTTTCTGCACCCTTATCTGATAATTTTCCTGAAAATGAAAAGTGATGAACCTATTGAGGTGGAGTTAGACAAAGAAACTCTGGCTGAGGTTCCTAGTCAGCTTTCACTTCTCCTTCCTTGAAGCACAAGGGTTTCTTGCTGGTTGCATGATTCAGTGTTTAAAAAGAAAGCGATGCCCACTTATCCTTATTTCACAAAGATCTTATGAGGGTGAGAGATGTCATTAGTCTTTCCAATGTTGAGAATTCCTTGGGGTCTGTGAGCTCCCCTCAACTCTCAACAAGTTTCTTTCCTCACCTGTGAAGAGCCTGTGTGGTGGGTCCAGGAGCCGCCCTCGTGTTTGGATTCTGAACCCAGGCATGTCCATTCCACTGCAGATAAAGCCTACATGCTGCACGTCAACATGCTGGATAAGATCCGAGAAGAGTGGCAGAGCGAGCACATCAAGGCCTGCGAGGTACCTGAATCCGAAGCTGCTCAGGAGGGGGCAGGTCTTCTCCTAGAGCCTGAAAGTTCCCATGCCCTGCCCCTGTACTATAGAGCCGCTATTCTTACAGAGTTGACGAGCTTGAGGGCAAACTAGAAATCAGCAATTTAAGTGGAGGATGGAAGGAACTGGGATGTTTTCCCAAATCATCTTTCAGTCTTCCCCCCACCCCCATCTTGACCGCTCTGTCCAACTTTGTTCAAGGTATTCATCTAACCTTTGGGTAGTGTGTGCATGAAACAACGGAATCAATTAATGATTAAGTAATTAAGCTTTAAAAGCCCCACCTGTACTTCTTAAGTGCTAAGAAGGATGCAGACAGCAGGTGAGTAGGCTTTAGAGTCTTTTTACACTTTCAACTTCACTTTCCGCTTCGTTTTCAGCACATGACCTCACAGTTACCCAGAGAAAATAAAAGATAAAACCTGGAAACTTTCTCAAGTTTCTGTTACCCTGTCTATACATTTTCTTACCTCCACACCAGTGGTTTTCAAAGTGAGGTCCCAAGACCAGTAGCACTAGCATCACCTGGGAGCTTATTAGAAATGCAAATTCTCAGGCTCCCTCCCAGACCTACCGAATCAAAAACTCTGGGGGTGGGGCCTAGCAATCTGTGTTAGGAAAAACCTGGAAGAAGCTCATTTTCATAAGGTTTAAAAATGTGCAAAGCAATATTATATACATTTTATAGATACATATGTAGTATAAGGAGCCCTAGTGGTGCAGTGGTTAAGAACTTGGCTGCTAACCAAAATGTTGGCAGTTGGAATACACCAGCTGCTCCTTGGAAACCCTATGGGGCAGTTGTATTTGGTCCTGTAGCGTCGCTGTGAGTCTGAATCACCTTGATGGCAACAGATTTGGTTTGGGTTTGGTATGTTGTGTAAAAGCCTGCATGTAAATGATAAAATTTAAGAGAGTGATTGTCTCTGGGGAAGGAGGAAGGTGACAGATTGGAGAAGGCAGAATCTGAAGCAAATATGGACAAAATTGTTGACAAAGCAAGGTGGTTGTTAGGGTTATTTATTACATAACTCTCTATGATCCTGCTTTGTGAAATATTCTAAAACAAAAAAAATGTAATATTTTAGTATATAAAAGCTAAAATATTTACAGATGATATTCTGTGATGCATTTGCTTCAAAATAATGAGGAGGGCAGGGAGTTGGTAGGTAAGACAGGTAAACAAGATGGGCTGAGAGTTGATAAATGTTAAAGCTGGTGATGGGTACATGGGAGTTCATTACAGTATTCTCTGTTCTTGTATATGTTTGAAGTTTTACATTACAGAAAGTTTTAAAATGTAATAGCTATGGTATTCAATATTCTTAAAAGGACATTAATATATAACATCCATTGTTGAAAAACTTTGTTGATATTTATTTATACCCAAAAAAAACTGTTGTTCAATTGGTGACTTTTAACTTTTTTATTAAGGAAAATTTCAAACATACACACAAGATAAGGACTCTCATGTTCTCATCAGCCAGCTTCAACAATTATGACCAACAGATGAACTTGCCAATCGAGTTCAATCATCCTGGGGGGTGGGCAGAATTTTGAATCTGAAACTGCCAGGCTGCTCAGTGGAGAGGCCCGTTAAAAAAACAACCAAATCCACTGCCGACTGAGTTGATTCTGACTCATAGCAACCCTGTAAGACAGAGTAGAACCACCATGGGGTTTCCAAGTCTGTAATCTTTATGGAAGCAGATTGCCACATCTTTCTCTCTCAGAAACGCTGAGTGGGTTCAAACCAACAACCCTTTGGTTAGCAGCTGAGTGCTTAACTGCTACACCACCAGGGCTCTTTGGAGAGGCCGACTAGGCAACTGGAAACGTGAGCTGGGATTCAAGTTAGAACATTGGTGTCTGGGATCATCATTACTTACCTTCAGAACTATATCCAATTCTGTTTGTGTTAATATAATATTAAAATCCATTTATATTCTTTGTGGTAAGAGTTTATGAGCTTCCTGGTGGTGGGGCCAGCCATTTGCCACTGAGTTGACTCCATAGGGTTTTGAGATAGTTCTCTTTTCTGCACCCTTATCTGATAATTTTCCTGAAAATGAAAAGTGATGAACCTATTGAGGTGGAGTTAGACAAAGAAACTCTGGCTGAGGTTCCTAGTCAGCTTTCACTTCTCCTTCCTTGAAGCACAAGGGTTTCTTGCTGGTTGCATGATTCAGTGTTTAAAAAGAAAGCGATGCCCACTTATCCTTATTTCACAAAGATCTATGAGGGTGAGAGATGTCATTAGTCTTTCCAATGTTGAGAATTCCTTGGGGTCTGTGAGCTCCCCTCAACTCTCAACAAGTTTCTTTCCTCACCTGGGAAGAGCCTGTGTGGTGGGTCCGGGAGCCGCCCTCGTGCTCCATAGGGTTTTCAGTGGCTGATTTTTTGGAAGTTGATCACCAGGCCTTTCATCTGAGGTGCCTCTGGGTGGACTCAAACATCCAACCTTTTGCTCAACAGCTGAACCCATTATCCATTTGCACCACCCAGGGGCTCCAGGTGCTGGGAATAGTACCCTAAATCAGCCAATAAGCTTATAGATAATTGAGAGTTGACACTATTTCATAAGTTACAGTCAGTCTAAACAAAGTGTCCATTTTCTCTGCATATGTATCTACATGTAGTTATGTTTCTATAGGTGTTTGAGGCTCAAGAATGTGAACGAATAAACTTCTTCCGGAATGCATTGTGGTTACATGTGAATCAGCTGTCACAACAGTGTGTCACAAGTGATGATGTAAGTCAGAGGCATCCTGAGTATTGTGGCTCCGCATGTTGGATTCATTAGAGTGGAAGGACCTGTAGACATTTATTTGCTCAACCCCTCTAATTTGAGGCCCAGAAAATGACTTGCCCAAGGCCACACAGTGACTTGATAGAAGGACCCAGATGAAAACCTAACCTGACTAACTCTTGGTCCACTTTACCACCATGACTTTCTCTTTAAGAAATCAGAGTTAGCTCTATCAGCCTAGAACTAAACAATTTCCAAGGCCAACTCTTCAGACAGGGATTGGACTGGACCGTGGGACATAAAGTGATATTCGTGAGGAGTGTGCCTCTTGGCTCAAGTAGATGCAGAAGACTAAACGGGCAGCTTCTATCCGGAGGTGAGATGGGAAGGCAGAGAGGGTTAGGAGCTGGTTGAATGGACATGGGCAATCAGGAGTGGAATGGAGGAGTGTGCTGTCACAGTGTGGGGAGAGGAATTAGAGTCACATAACAATGTATGTATAAATTTTTGTATGGGAAAAATAAATAAATAAAAAGAAATCAGAGTTAGGGCAGGAAAGCAGAGCAGGGGAAACCTAGACATAGTTTAATTTATGGAAGACAGATGTCACGCGTGAATGTGAATCCCGAAAACTTTTCCAGTCTGCAAGGTACATACTAGTGGATACGCGTGGAGCCATCCGCCTCAGCACTGTGCAGAGTGACCCAGGCCCAGGCTCGTGGTCACTCCAGGGTCCAGGATTTACTTAGTGGCATTCCCAAAGCCATTATCCAGGTTTAACTTGTGTACAATAGTCACTGGGTCCCCAGATCTCAGAGGAACCAGAATCAAGTCATCACGATCTTCTTTGCTAAGAAATAGCCACCCCCATTTAGATGGGAAACTCACATTAGAAAAACAATTCAGCACTTAGAAAACCTGCAGGATTGAACGGAAGACCTTTTCTCCAAAGTTAAGTAATTGTCTTTACATTTATGTGTGTCATTGGTCTTGTGTCATGGGCCCTGATATCTGTTTTTTTTTTGTTGTTGTTGTTCTGTTAGTATATTTTTTAAATCTTTCAGTCAAGGGTTTTGTGCTGCCACAAAAGATACAACCCCCCCCCCCCACTTTTTTAAAATTTAACAACAAATGTGCATCAGAAAATCCTTTATTTGAGTCCAGGAACTTGGGACTGTCTTCTTTTTCCTATCAAAACTAAATCCAGAAAAGACTCAGGCATTCATCAAACCTCCTGTTTGACTGAGCTGTGTCACAATTAAAACAAGCATGCATCTGCCTATTGATTTATCTTGTTTTTGTTAGATGTATGAAGGCGTCCGTAAGAGTTTAGAAACGTGCAGCATTGAGAAAGACATTGAGTACTTTGTGAACCAACGGAAAACTGGGCAGAGTCCACCAGGTGAACAGGGCGGTGGGAGTGAGGGAGTTGTTTAAGTCATTTGATTAGCCTTTTTTGTCATATTGTTGGGGATGAAGACACGTGTGTCTTAATGTTTTGTTTCTTGATGACTGTCCTAGCACCAGTTATGTATGAGAACTTCTACTGCCCCCAGAGGAATGCTGCTCCACCAGGAAAGGCTACGGGACCTGGACCTACCGTGGCAAGGTAGGAACCAGCTACCTTTCACATGAAGAAAAATACTTTAAAAAAATTTAATTTAATTTATTTATTTTTGCTGTTGTTGAGAATATACACAGCACAACATACACCAATTCAGTGAAAATACTTTTAGTACACACTTTATCATTAATGTTCTCAGGCATGTTAGAATTTGAACATATCTACCATTACATTTGCTTAGTGAAGTTGCTAGATTTTTGGAAATAGCATTTTTAGGAGAAATGTTAAGTGGATTTTGCTAATCGTAGTTCAAGGAGGACTGTATCATGCTTGAGTGTGGTGATTTACTCATTTATGAGTCCTATGCCTTTCTGAGGATCCCTGGTGGCAAAGTGGCTAAAAGAGCAGCCTGCTAACCAAAAGGTCGGCAGTTCGAATCCATCAGTCACTCCTTGGGAACCCCATGGGGCAGTTCTACTTTGTCCGATAGGGTTGCTATGAGTTGGAATCAGCGGCAGTGGGTTTTAATGGGTATGCCTTTCTGACAGCCTGTAGTGAGTTAATAACTACAGCCCTCAGGGGGTCAACTCTGACCTACCTGTTTTTATAGGACCTGTAAGCTAAGAATAGCTTTTATATTTTTAAGTGGTTGAAAAAATCAGAAAGGTACTATTTCATGACACACGAAAATTATATGAAATTCAAATTTCAGTATGCGTATATAAAGTTTTATTGGAACATGACCACGCTCATTGGTTTATGTTTTGTCTGTGGCTGCTTTGTGCTACAGTTGAGTAGTTGCGTCGGAGACCATATGTGATCAGCAAAGCCTAAAACATGCTGAGAGGCAGGATTGTTCAGAAGCACAGTCTTCTGCCCCCAACCCAGACTGGCAGGATTAAAATATTTGCTCTGTGAGTAAATTCCCTGATCGCCTTCTACTTCAGTATCTTCATATGTAAGATACTGGCCCTTTACAGAAAAAGTTTACTGTTCCCTGGTATAAAGGATCCTGAGGAATGAGAAACTTGTTTCACATAAAGTCAGTTTGGAGTCTAAGCTGTTAAATTCTCAGTCTAGTTTAATAAAGATGGGGTGGCGAGGGAGAGGTTTGCTTGATCATCATCAATGTTTAAGAATGGCAGGGACTGTTCAAAACCGTTAACATGAATTAAATCACTTAACCCTCACAATGAGGACCTCTTTGTCTTCTTCCATTTTATATACGAAGATACTGATGCAGAAGGCCATCAGGGAATTTTCCCACAGAGCTAGTGTTTTATTAATTAATTAATTATTGTACTTCAGATGAAGGTTTACAGAACAAACTAGCTTCTCATTAAACAATTAGTACACATTTTGTTTTGTGACATTGGGTACCAACCCCACGACATGTCAACACTCTCCCATCTCGACCCTGGGTTCCCAATCTCCAGCTTTCCTGTCTCCTCCCGCCTTCTAGTCCTTGCCCCTGGGCCGGTGTACCCATTTAGTCTCCTTTTGTTTTATGGGCCTGTCTAATCTTTGGCTGAAGGGTGAACCTCAGGGGTGACTGAGGGTGTGGGAGGGCCACAGTCTTGGGGGTTCCTTTAGTCTCTGTCAGCCCAGTAAGTCTGGTCTTTTTTTTGTGAGTTAGAATTTTGTTCTACATTTTTCTCCAGCTCTGTCTGGGACCCTCTATTGTGGTCCCTGTCAGAGCAGTCAGCGGTGCTAGCCGGGCACCATCTAGTTGTGCTGGACTCAGTCTGGTGGAGGCTGTGGTAGTTGTGGTCCATTAGTCCTTTGGACTAATTGTTCCTTTGTGTCTTTGGTTTTCTTCATTCTCCCTTGCACAGAGCTAATATTTCAATCCTGCCAATCTGAGTTGGGGGCAGGAGTCTGGACTTCTAATCACTGAATAATCCTGCCTCTCAGCATAATGTCGTTTCTGAAACTTTAAAGATTTCAGTAGGTCAGTGTCACAGATCTTTTGCTTTGTCTGAGTTTTTATTGACCACTTCAGAGCAGAAACAAGATGTGAAGATGAAAATTATAAAAATAACAAGAATTTATCTGAAAGACATTGTTTTTAATTTCTTATAGGAGAGGACTTCCCCCAGTTCCTCCAAGTGTACAAGGTATGTTGTCAAGAAACTCCTTTTGAAAGGCTTATGTCAGATTTTCTTTAAAGTTGAGTAGCTTGAATTTTGAAATAAGTGAAAAAAAAAAAAAAAAAAAGAACAAATAGAATCAAATTCCTAAGAGAATGAATCTATATTAGAATATTGCTATAACACTATTTGTCAGAGTGGAATTTGGTGATTGGTGGTCTACTTTAGGGTTTATCCAAGAGAATTAAGTTACTGAAATGCCAAAAGAACTTTATTATAAGGCAATCTTACCTAAGAGATTATTTCAACTTGGACCATGAAAACAGTAAAACAAAGATATAGTTTGCTTTGGATTACACGTAAATATAATTTATAGGAGATATAGATGTATATAGGAGCCTTGGTGGTGCAGTGGTTAAGAGCTCGGCTGCTAACTAAGGTCGGCGGTTGGAACCCACCAGTCACTCCGTGGGAGAAATAGGGGACAGTCTGCTTCTGTAGAGATTATGGCCTTGGAAACCCTACGGGGGCAGTTCTACTCTGTCCTATAGGGTTGCTATGAGTCCGAATTGACATGATGGCAATGGGTAATAGAGGTATACAAACATAAAACTTAACATTATATGTTTTGTATACTGTCCATAATTGGATCTGTCACTGGTCACACCGGTCTCTTTTTTTCTCTGAACTCCTATGATACCTCTGGGAGAACCACACATTTTAGCATTTTTTGTTCATTATATTCCCTGGGTTTAGATCCTTGAGGGCAGGGACTTAGTCTTCTCTTGTACCACTCACAACCTCTAACATGGTACTGGGCACATAGTAGGTCTTCAACAAATACTTTATTATTTAATTAAAAGAAAGATACCTATCTACATTTGAGGGAATGGGGGAAAAGGACAACTCATGTGACTGCATTTAGCAGCTTAATAAAAATTTCATAGCTACTATGGCTCAAAAGAAGTCCTGGTTGCACAGTGGTTAAAACGCTTGGCTGTTAACCTAAAGATCAGTGGTTCGAACCCACCAACAGCTCTATAGGAGAAAAATGTGGCAGTCTGCTTCCTGAAAGATTTACAGCCTTGGAAATCCTATGGGGTAGTTTTACTCTGTCCTGTAGGGTTGGAATTGACTTGACGGCAGTGGGTGTGGTTTTTGGTTTTAGTGTGGCTCAAACAGATACCTGTACACCAATGTACATTGCAGCATTATTGGCAATAGCCAAGAGGTGGAAACAACCGAAGTGTTCATCAACCGATGAATGGAAAACAAAATGTGGTATATCCATAGAGAGAAATGAAGTTCGATACATACTATGACATGGATGAATGTTGAAAATATTAAGCTAAGTGGAATAAGTCAGACACAAAAGGACAAATATTGTATGATGCACCTATCATGAAATATCTAGAGTAGGCAAGTTCATAGAGACAAAAGTTTATTAGAGATTACCAGGGACTGGGGGGAGTGGCGGTGGGGGGGGTGGTTAGGAGTTATTGCTTAAGGGGTACTGAGTTTCTTTTTGGAGTGATAAAAATCTTTTGAAAATAGATAAGTGGTGATGATTACACAGCATGGGGAATGTTAACAAATTGTACACTTAAAAATGGTTAAAATGGCAAATGTTTTGTGACATATTTTACTACAATTAAAAAAATTAGTGGCTGAAATGAAATGTTTGAACAATCTGGGGATTTAAGTTATTTTCATATCTTTTTACCTTATAATTACCATTTGATAATATGGTACTTTATTGTCCATTTTTGAAGATGGCTTTACCGTGAGTGTTGCTATCTGGACATGGTTGAAAAGGGCAGTTGAATCATAATAGTAATTGCCAGAATGTTCCGTGGTCTGTAGCCATGACTACTATTTGTAAATTTTGCTGCCAGATAGATTTTCTTCTTGCAAAAAGCCAGTCACCAGATTCTTTAAGTGAAATACCTTGGTTTGAAAAGGGCTAGGATCTTATGAAATATATTAGCTTAATGTTCCTCTGTGCTCTGCCCTTTGCAGGCGACCCTGATTATTCTTTGCTTGCTGACTACAGTTTGCTGTATCAGTAGCATCAACGGTAAGAAACTTTAGTTGTCACATAATCACATTTGGACTGGACATTGTGTTTTTGAAGCCTTTGAAACTGAGAACAAATGGTGCGGAATGGGTATTCTAAGCAATGAAAAATGGAATGTGATGATGATAGCACTGCTTTAGTAAAGAATACATGTATTTTTATTTTTTAAACATATATATTTAAATCCAAAAGTTATAGCCTGTCTTTACCTAAGCATGTCAGAAGTAAAAATGGGAAGAGCAGGTAAAATCAGTAACTGCAAAACACTGACCAAAACCAAACATGACTGCATCAGGCCAGCATGCTGGTGGGTGTGGTGTTTCAGCAGGGCAGCCTCACTGGACTCTATATCTGAAAGGGGACTGGAGACCACTCAATGCCTGTTTGAAGGAAGGTGTTTTCCCTTCTTTAATTATCCTATAACTTTTTTTTTAAAATTGTGTTTTAGGTGAAAGTTTACAGTGCAAATTAGTTTTTCATTCAAAAATTTATACACAAATTGTTTTGTGATATTGGTTGCAATCCCCACAATGTGTCATCAGCAGTCTCCTCTCTTCCCTTTACAGCACGGGTTCCGTGTGTCAATTCGTCCAGGTTTCCTGTCTTTTCCTGCCTTCTCGTCTTTGCTTTTGGGCAGATGTTGCCCATTTGGTCTTGTATACTTGATTGAACTAAGAAGCACATTCCTCACGTGTTATTATTTCTTTTATCGGCCTGTCTAGTCTTTGGCTGAAAGGTGGACGTCGGGAATGGCTTCAGTTCTGAGTTAGCAGGGTGTCTGAGGGCCATCGTCTTGGGGGTTCCTCCAGTCTCTGTCAGACCAGTGAGTCTGGTCTTTTTTTGTGAATTTGAATTTTGTTCTACATTTTTCTCCCACTCTGTCCAGAACCCTCTATTGTGATTGCTGTCGGAGTGGTTGATACTGGCAGTGGGCACCATCTAGTTCCTCTGGGCTCAGGCAGGTGGAGGCTGTGGTTCATGTGGTCCATTAGTCCTTTGGACTGATATTTTCCTTGCATCTTTGGTTTTCTTCATTCTCCTTTGCTCTGAATGCAATGGGACCATAGATATGTTTTAGATGGCCCCTCACAAGCTTTTAAGATCCCAGATGCAACTCACCAAAGTTATCCTATAACTGTTTATCTGCTCTTGTTAAGCTCTTTTGTAGCTATTATACCCCTAAAGGCAAATCTCACAAACAAAACACACATGATCCTCACTGTTAAAGTAATTAAGCCTTTAGTGTACTTCCCCACCCACTAAAAAGGGGAAAGTCAAGTAAAAAGAAGTCAATGAAAACAATGCAAATGATACCATACTCAGCAAACAAACTGGTATCATCGCGGTTATCTGGTATGATGACCATCCTACCAGGTTATCACTGCTCTAAACTAGCAAAACTGCAAGGTTTCTGTGAGGACAACTGAACATTCCTAAGCCAAACATGGCTGCAAAGATGACCACATGGTGGCTCTTCCTCTTTGGCACTAAGCTGCTTGCAGCATGCCCCAAATAAAAATCAGTCTTCATAGCTGTGAAGGAATACCTCAGAAGCCAAAGCAATATTAAACGAAAAGCCCGTGCCAGATGCTGCTGAGTCGAATCTGACTAATGGTAACCCCATGTGTGCCAGAGTAGAACCGTGCTTCATAGGATTTTCAGTGACTGAATTTTCAGAAGTAGATCTTCAGGCCTTTCTTCCGAAGTGCCTCTGGGTGAACTCGAACGTCCAACCTTTTGGTTAGCAGGCAAGTGCGTTTATCCTTTGCACCACCCAGGGACTCCATTCAGTGAAACTCCTCATAAATTATAATTCTTTTAAACCAAATGGGCATATCTTGGGATATGACTATATATATAACCAAAGAAAAACTCTGCAAGGATATATTCCTAAAAAGCAGTATTTTTTCTTTTTGTTTACTTGCATTTTCTAATTCATCACCAATGAAAATTTATTACTTCTTTAAAAACTGTTTAAAACTGTTGATCCTCTTACTAATTCTTGATTTGGGAGGGACAGAAAGGCCATGGATAGGATGAAAGAAGTCACAAGGGTGCTGGAACAGCCTCTTTTCCATCCTTCCTTGTTGGGTGTTGGTGACATTTACTCTCTCTTATGAAACAAAACAGGTTTTTAACAGTGTTCCGTGCTGGTTTTCCTCCAGTGTTTTATACCACCTAAAAGTGCTTAGAAGTGAGCACATCAAATGCTATTTGTCTTTAGTACCCTAAAAACACCTACTCTGGGACTTGTAGTCAAGTAGGTATATAACTAGTATAGAAGCCAAGTTGTCTTAGTTAGATAGAAATAATTGGCTATTATCTATTCAAATTTAAGCATAAGTCCTTAAATTGCTTAAGAAATGTAGTCAATACTTCAGTAACTTTGCGGTAAAAGATTATGGAAACTGAAGACATAAAATACCCCGACTTTCTGACCTACAAACAAATTGTAGTCGTTACAACCAGTCATCATTTCTTCTTCATTTCATAAGCCTCCCTCTTCTTCTCAAGATAGTCCCTGGACTAAACCAAAGCTGAGAAGTTTCTTGAATACAATCAAACACTTTGAGGGACAGAGTAGCAGTGGTGGAGTTTGGGAACCATACTTTCTGGGGACGTCTAGGTCAATTGGCATAACAAAGTTTATTAAGAAAATGTCCTGCATCCTACTTTGGTGAGTGGCATCTGGGGTCTTAAAAGCTAGCAAGCGGCCATCTAAGATGCATCAATTGGTCCCAACCACCTGGAGTAAAGGAGAATGATGAACACCAAAGACACAAGGAAAGTATTAGCCCAAGAGACAGAAAGGGCCACATAAACCAGAGACTTCATGAGCCTGAGACCAGAAGAACTAGATGATGCCTGGCTACCACCAGTGACCGTTACTCCTCTGACAGGGAACACAGCAAAGCGTCCCTGATGGAGCAGGAGAAAGGTAGGGTGCAGAACTCAAAATCTAGTAAAAGGACCAGACTTAATGGTTTGGCTGAGACTGGAGGAACCCCAGAAAGCATGGCCCCTGGACTCTCTGTCAACCCAGAATGAAAACAATTCCTGAGGCCAACTCTTCAGACGAAGATTGGACTGAACTGTGGGACATAAAATGATACTCGCGAAGAGTGTGCTTCTTAGCTCAGGTAGATACATGAGACTAAATGGGCAGCTTCTGTCCGGAGATGAGATGAGAAGGCAGAGAGGGTTAGGAGCTGGTTGAATGGACATCGGAAATCAGGGGTGGAAAGGAAGAGTGTGCTGTCACAGTATAGGGAGAGCAATTAGGGTCACATAACAATGTATGTGTAAATTTTTGTATGAGAGACTAACTTGAATTGTAAACTTTCACCTAAACTACAACAATTAAAAAAAAAAAAAAAAGTCCCTGGGTGGCACGAACGGTTTGCATTCGGCTGCTAACTGAAAGGTTGGCTATTTAAACCCACCCAGCGGCACCACAGGAGAAAGGCCTGTAGATCTGCTTCCGTAAAGATTACAGCCAAAAAAACCCTATGGAGCAGTTCTACTCTGTTAACACAGGAGATTGACTAAATGGCAATGAGTTTGATTTTTTTTTTTTTTTCCCATAAGGCCTAGATTAAAGACAGAGCAGGAACATGGGAAATAAATGACTTGGGATTTGGAGGTAAAACCTGCTCTTTGGAACACTGTGTGGATGATGGCTATGGGGCAGTGTGCTGACAGCTGCAAGTGTTTCTTTTTACCTTTTTCTTTCCTGTCATCACTGGTTTGGGTGAAGTGTTTATTCTAGTTGCTTAATAATAATGGCATTTCACCCAACAATCCTAGTTCTTCAGAGCCCAAGAATCTGATGTTTGAATGCAAGATGTTAATATCAGTGCACTACTCCAGTTATCTCTCTTCGGTTATTTCATTACATTGCATTGCATTATTGCCCTGGCCGGTTCAGTGAATAAAAAAAACCCAAACCCATTGCCGTTGAGTTGATTCCGATTCATAGCGACCCTATAGGATAGAGTAGAACTGCCCCATAAGGTTTCTAAGGAGCAGTTGGTGGATTCAAACTGCCGACCTTTTGATTACAGCCCAACACTTAACCACTGCACCACCAGGGCTCCAACAGCTCAGTGAAGAGAGGCTCAATATATACGTGTATAATTGACTGAATTTAAGAGAATTGTAAAGAAGGGAGGCTAGTTTAGTTAATAACTTATTTAAGCATCTTATAACAACATTGAAAATAGTTTGAATAAATCTTGGAATTGAAAATTTAAATAGAAAGATTTAGGAATTTGTCATTTGTTCTGTAGTTGTTGATTTTAGCTGCTCTTCCCATTTTTACTTCTAACATGCGTAGGTAAAGACAGACTATAACTTTTGGATTTAAAAATATATGTTTCAAAAATAAAAACACATGTAGTATTTACTAATGCAGTGCTATCACATTCCATTTTTCATGACTTGAATTACCCATCCCCACCATTTGTTCTCCTTGGCTAAGCTCATTTATTCTTGCTGAATACACTCACAGGGTAGGAGGGGGTGCTGGCATGAATGATTCATTCAAATGAAATTGCTCTGCTATTTTCTTTCAGAAAATAAAGCTTTTTCGGCTAGTGCTTCTACAGCATGGAAGGAGGCACCGAGAGCAGCAGAATCTATAGCCAAAGTGTGACAGTCACGAAGACATTGAATGAATCTTTGCAGTAATTTTTTGATATTTTAGATTTATAGTAGACATTTAGTTCAACTTAAGCTAACAGAGGTCTGCAGTTTTCTGAAGAAGTTTACAAATTATTCAGACTGAAGAATTATCCTTTCCCAGTCAGCTACGAAAGTTGTGAATGAATTCTGTTTTCTACTTGGGAAGCAGGAGAAGTTTCTGGATTCGAAGCAGAGGAAAGTTGAGTCATCAGCGTGCGGAACAATCTTCTCTGGATTCGGAGGGGAGCGGGGGTAACAGCTTGGCTATGGAATTTCCACAGGAGCACACAATCTCAGTGGCACGAAGTTTTAATTGCCTTCCTTTTTGGGTGAAAGACTTAGAGGCCAACTGATTACACTTTATCATTTTACAGATGAGGAAATGAGGCCCAGAAGTGTTAAACCAGTTTCCTCACAGTTCTTCCAGCTGGTTAGGGGCAGAACCAGAACTAGGGCCCACGTTTGTCATTCCATATCATGTTCTTCTAACCCTGCTTGAGGCTGTGATGCTCATGCTGAAATTTAAGACGCCAAATATTTTTGCCAGCATTTTTTCAACGGGGAAAATCAACAGGGTTTAAATGTCAGATTTATTTTTATAGGGATCACTCTATGTACTGAACTTAATCTAATCTAAGAAGCCATCGATTGTAAAACACACTATTATTTTATGTACTACTAAGGTGGTGAGGTGGAGGAGTTGCCAATTAACCTGTGATAAGTCACTGATGGCCAAGACCTTAAGAATTTGAGACTTTCAAGTGTGAAAAAAATGCATATCTTAGAATCAATTTTGACTCGAGAATTTTCTAGTTATAAAGCCAATCTTCAGTCCTGGGTCTTCACAGAAAACCTTTCCTTTGCTAGACTCTGGAATCTTTAAAGTGTCAATCTTAGCTTTTCACACATATTTAGGCCTTTTGTCATCCACAAACAGCAGCGAGTTTACCTGCTGCCGTGGACAGAGTAGAACTGCCCCATAGGGTTTCCAAGGAGCGGCTGGTGGATTCCAACTGCCAAATTTTTGGTTAGCAGCCGAGCTTTTAACCACTGTGTCACCAGGGCTCCGCAGGGAGGTTAGGTACATTTTTTACAACATTCACACACTGTGGGAAAATAGTATGTTTCAGTTAAAGATAAGTTAAAATAGCACTGGCACTTATACAGTATGCTGGAAAGTCCTATGTTACCACAAAAAGCAAATATTTTTTTCTCTCCTGCTTTATGCAGTCACTTTCCCAGGACTATGGACACATTGACTGAAGGAAAATTGACTTCCCCCGCCCCTCCCTTTTAATGTAAGACACTCCTGAATGTGGTAGCTTCTTGTCAGGGCAGGAAACTTGCATCAGTTAGATAGCTTTTTGAGAAACTAACATGAGCAAAGGGTCACTGACTTCCCCAAACTGAACAGGCTCAGGAAACTTTCCTTCAAACTCAGAACATCCTATGTTTAAGTGTTTTGTTTATTGTTGGCAGTTTCTCGGGGATTTCACTTTTCTCTCTATTGGTCAGTGTAATTGATATAAAGGTATTTTGTGAATTGAAAACAATGTCTTTATTTTATTGCTCTTTCAGTCTGATATGAAGTCAAATAAAAGTTTTTGGGGATTTGGGATTTATTTTGAATTTTTATGTTAACCTGATCTCTCTTCCAAGCTTTATTTCACCCCTTGTCACATCTGCCATTGTTAAACTACAGAAAGACACACCGCAGGTCAAGGAGGCCAAGTGGAGGCTGGTGCTGTATCATCTCCTCTACCTTCAGTTACTTCACTTCCTCAGGGAGGCACCATCCCAGCCTCCAGACTAGGTGGGATCCTATTGCTGTATCCTTCCTCTCCTCCTTCATTTTCCTTGTTATTACATGATTCACTTTTTTCTTTAAAATTATGGTGAATATACATGTCACAAATCATTTGCCTTTTCAATATTCTTCCCATGTACGACTCACTGATATGAGTTATGTTTGTCATATTTTTCAACTACTACCATGATCCATTTTCAAATTTTCCCATCACCCTTAACAGAAGCTTAGTGTCCCCTAAGCAGTGAGTCCTCCTTTCCCACTCCCTCCCACCCACTGCTGGTAACGACTTATAAACTTTGGTCTCTATACACTTGCCCGTCCTAGATATTTCATGTAAGTGGAATCATACAATATTTGTCCCTTTGTGACTGACTTATTTCACTCAGCCATCATGACTCGCTCTTGAAATTAATTGTTCAATGTCTGTCCTCCTTCCTAGACTGTAATTTCCTTGAGAGAAGGCCCATCTATCCTTCTTACTGATAGATCTCCAGCACTTTGCACGTGGTAGTAAATACGGGTTCATTAAAAGAATTTGTGGCCTATAAGAGAACATAGCAGAGAAACAACCACTTGAGGGAGAGAGACCTGAGGAGGGTAAAGAGAGTGTCATAGATTGAATTGTGTTCCCCCAAAATATCTGTCAACTTGGCTAGGTCCTGATTCCCGGTATTGTATGATTGTCTGCCATTTTATCATCTGATGTGATTTCCCTATGTGTTGTAAATGCTATCACTATGATGTAATAAGATAGATTAGTGGCAGTTATATCGATGAGTTCTACAAGATTGGGTAGTGTCTTGAGCCAATCTCTTTTGAGATATAAAAGAGAGAAGAGAGCAGAGAGACATGGGGACCTCATACCACGAGGAAAGCAGTGCTGGGAGTAGAACGTATCCTTTGGACCTGAGGTTCCTGTGCTGAAATGCTCCCAGACCAAGAGAAGACTGATGACAAGGACCTTCCTCCAGAGCCAACAGAGAAAGTCTTCCCCTGGAGCTTATGCCCTGAATTTGGACTTGAAGCCTACCGGACTGTGAGAGAATAAATTTCTCTTTGTTAAAGCCATCCACTTGTGGTGTTTCTGTTATAGCGGCACTAGATGACTAAGACAGGGAGTGAAGCCAGTCAAATAAGTATATATATTAAATTTAGTAACTATGAGCTATTCTGTAGATGGTTGGTATCTTAATTTGGCTTCCCCCAGAAGCAGACTCTGAGACAAGGATTTTAGTGCAAGTAGTTTATCCAGAGGGGGATTCCAGGAAGCATCAGTAAAGAAATGGGGAAATGAGACAAGGAAGGGAAGGAAACCCAAGCATGCATTATCAAGCAAGTTGTTACTGTGGGCAACTGAGCTTAATCCTGTTGGGGAACCCTGAGAAACAAAGTAGAACACACATCTTAGAGATACCTCACCTGAAGGTTGAGGGAGTTGGGATATTTATTCACCAACTCCCATCAGTCACTGGTTGAGGCACTGCTGGCCTGCCATGAATGCTGACAGAGTGGGCTCAGGTAGTCTGAGGGAGCACCTGGGCAGGGACTCAGTTTCTGGTGTTGAGAGTTGAGATGGGGTTTAAGGAAATAGTCGGCACTGAGGGAATATGGAAGGGCCATCGACGGTGTCTACCTCCTGCTCTGCTCAGATCCATTTGTGCCGCACATTACTTTTACTCCACCCTGTCATTACTTCTTCAAGTCACAATTTCCAAAACACACATAAACAAAACAGGAAGTTTAGCGAGACAAGCTCTAGTCCCTGTTGCTGAAGTTGGTCCTGAGCCCATAATTTATATTCATCAGCTGTCCTCTACCACCCATTCTAGGTTCCTCTCACACTTGGTTAGTTCTGCTGGTCTAGGTTTCTTGAAGGGTGGGATACTTCATCCCTGAGGGGTCTTAGTCCCTGGTTATTAGGCTCTTGTCCAACACTGTTTGCTGAAAATGCCGATTTATGTTTACCACCAAGCATGGGAGCACAAAGTGGCACCCCAGTGGACTCCCTGAGTTCCAGACATATTTCCCCCTGCCCCCATCCCTGCCCCTCTTTCTTCATGATAATCACCTACGTCTGCCAGTATAGTAACTCCTTTCTTTACTAGCTGGTTTACTGACATGAGGAACCCCAAATGACCAGGCATCGGCTGCAGTTTTAGGTTTAGTGAAACTCTTTTATGTCCCCTAGTAGACATATCCCCCACCAACCCCCAGGAGCCATGAGCTCTAGTCCATCAGAGCCTAAAGTTGAAAGGATATTGTTGTTAGCGGCCGTCGAGTTGGTTCTGACTCATAGCGACCCTACATACAACAGAACGAAACACTGCCCGGTCCTGAGCCATCTTCACAATCGTTGTTATGCTTGAGCCCATTGTTGCAGCCACTGGGTCAATCCATCTCATTGAGGGTCTTCGTTTTTCTCTGACCCTTTACTTTGCCAAGCATGATGTTCTTCTCCAGGGACTGATCCCTCCTGACCACATGTCGAAAGTATGTGAGACGTAGTCCCACCATCCTTGCTTCTAAGGGGCATTCTGGTTGGACTTCTTGAAAGTTGAAGGGATGGAAAGCACGAATTCTCCCAGTGGGCTACAGAGTTATAGAGGCCATTCTTACTTCTGGGTTCCTAGACTTGTGTTTTCTACCTATTAGAGACTGTTCTGGATTGAATTGTGTCCCCTCAGAATATGTATTGGAATCCTAACCCCTATACCTGTGGATGCAATCTAATCATTTTCTATGATGCCATCTAATGTAATGTAATCAATCAATCAGTTGAGGTCATACCAGTGTAGTTGTAGTTGTGCGCTGTCGAGTTGATTCAGACTCATAGAGACCCTATAGGACAGAGTAGAACTGCCCCATAGGGCTTCCAAGGAGCGGCTGGTGGATTCGAACTGCTAATCTTTTGGTTAGCAGCCTGAGCTCTTAAGCACTTTCCCACCAGGGCTCCTTACCAGTGTAAGATGGGTAGAAATTTTTAGTACTTAGTTGCACTGTCAGCTAATTGTCTCAAGAAAGCTGAAATAATTTAGAAGTAACATGATTCTTTTTACAATCTTACAAAATGCATTTAGTAATCAAGAATGATGAAATAATGACTCATACAGAATGATGTACTGGAAGTACGGTATTTATTTGTAGAATGAATGACTTCTTGTAAATCATCTATTAAAAGGTTTCACTAGTGGGAATTACCACTAGATGGCAATAGGGACTCATGGAATCTAATTTTGTAAGGTTATTTAAGAAAGATCTACCCAGGGCTCATTCATGAGTTCAGCAGCTTTTATGGAAGGAACCTCTGCTGTGACAAGCCCTGTGTCAGATATTGGGTGACATATGAATCACCAAATCAACAACCAAACCTGTTGCTGTCGAGTCAATTCCAACTCTTAGTGACCCTATAGGACAGAACAGAGCTGCCCCGTAGGGTTTCCAAGGCTGTAAATCTTTACGGAAGCAGACTGCCACATTTTTCTCCCACAGATGGCTGGTGGGTTCGCCTTTCTGTTAGCAGCCGAGTGCTTAACCCCTGCGCCACCAGGGCGCCTATGAATCCCAGTCGTATTAAATTTTGGAATGCCATAATATATTATATGAATTATAGTCTTTTTGGAGCCCTGGTGTCGCAGTGGTTAAGAGCTTGGCTGCTAACCAAGAGGTCGGCAGTTCGAATCCGCCAGCTGCTTCTTGGAAACACTATGGGCAGTTCTACTCTGTCCTATAGGGCTATGAGTCAGAATTGACTCAATGGCAAAGGGTTTGGTTTTTGTCTGGTTTATAGTCCTTTTATAAATGTCTGGTTCTTGATGGGAATTTTTCTCATGAGATTCAAAATTATTCTAAATTCTGAAAGTTGCAGTGAAAGTTAATACAGCCTATTGGAGAGAAATTTGGCAAATATTATCAAAATTCAAAATGAGAATGCCTCTTTGACTAGCAATTTCACATCGAGGCATCTATCTTACAGAAATACACATGCACAAAAATACATGTATAAGAATGGTTACTTGTAAACATTATCTTTAATAGTGGAAAATTGGAAATAATGTAATTTCCACCAGAAGTCTGTTTACAAAAAGTTTCAAAATATTTAATTAATTAAGGGGAAAAAAGGAGTAGAGCTATCTGTCCTACAAGGAAAGATCTTCAAAACGTATTTATTAAAATGTTTCACAGACGTTGAGTATTTATGAGTATGATATTTGTACATGTGTAGAAAAATGTCTGAAAGGATACACACTCAACTGATAAGGGTTAACTCTGGGGAAGAGAGTATCTTAGTTATCTAGGGCTGCTATAACAGAAATACAAATGGATGACTTTAACAAACAGAAGTTTATTCTCTCACAGTCCAGTAGGCTAGAAGGCAAATTCAGGGCGTCACCAGGGGAAGGCTTTCTCTGTCGGCTCTGGAAGTAGGTCCTCGTCATCAATTTTCCCCTGGACTAGGAGCTTCTCCTTGAAGGAACCCTGGGTCCGAAGGACATGCCCTGCTCCCAGCTCTGCTTTCTTGGTGGTATGAGGTCCCTGACTCTCTGCTCCCTTCCCTTTCATTTCTTATAAGATAAAAGATGGTGCAGCCCACACCCTAGGGAAACTCCCTTTACATTGGATCAGGGACATGACCTGAGCAAGGGTGTTACATCCCACCTTAATCCTCTTTAACCTAATCTAATCTTGCCTCATTAAGCACAGCAGAGATTAGGATTTACAACACATAGGAAAATTATATCAATCACAAAATGAAGGACAATCACAGGATACTGGGAATCATGGCCTAACCAAGTTGACACATATTTTTGGGGGACACAATTCAATCCATGACAGGAAGTGTTAACTTTTTATCACATATACTTCTACGTGGACATTAAAAATATTATAAAAAAAAATTATTATAGAAATTTTTAAAGGAAAGGAAAAAATAATTCCAACATCCAACGCTGTACTATTATGAACAATCTGGTGTCTTTAAAGTGAAAATTTTCTGATATTCATTTTGGCCTCAGTATATAGAGTATTGTAAACATGGAGAGAGTAAATCCAGCTTTCTATCTTAAAAGTCCATTTATTTATATTGTACAACTGCCTTGGTTCAAACTAAAGCTTTCCCGTTTGCTAGCTGTAAAACCTTATGCAAATAATTTAACCTCTCTGGGCCTTAGTTCCCTTATCTATAAAATAAGAATAAAATTACTGACTTTGTAGGCTTATTATGAAAATCAAATGAGTTAATATGTGAAAAGTACTCAAACAGTGCCCTGAAGATAGTACGAGCTCAGCAAATGTTAGGGATGATTACTGCCAAGGGATCAGTAGTAGCAAACCCTCAGCTGCTAATTAGGCCATTGATTAACCCTGCTTGCTGACAATGTGAATTTTTTCATGTCTCTGTAGGTAGCATTCATATCTAGAAAAAATCATTTGTCATTATTTATTTTTGAAATTAATCTTCAATTTATTAAAGTCTGTTTTAGTTATCTAGTGCTGCTATAACAGAAATACCACGAGTAGATGGCTTTAACAAAGAGAAATTTATTTTCTCACAGTCTAGTGGCTAGAAGTCCAAATTCAGGGCATCAGCTCCAGGGGAAGGCTTTCTCTGTTGGCTCTGGAAGTAGGTCCTTGTCATCAATCTTCCCCTGGACTAGGAACTTCTCTGCGCAGGAACCCCGTGTCCAAAGGATGCACTCTGCTCCTGGTCCTGCTTTCTTGGTGTTATGAGGTCCCCAACTCTCTGCTTGCTTCCTTTTCCTTTTATCTCTTGTAAGATAAAAGGTGGTACAGGCCACACCCCAGGGAAACTCCCTTTACATCTGATCAGGGATGTGACCTGAGCAAGTGTGTTATATCCCACCCTAATCCTCTTTAACCTCTGGCAGAGATTATGATTTATAACACATAGGAAAATCACAAAATGGAGGACAACCACACAATACTGGTAATCATGGCCTAAGCAAGTTAACACGTATTTGAGGGGACACAGTTAAATCCATGACAGTCGTACACATTTTAAAGTTTAGTTTTTCTTAAGTCTTCAAGTTATCTTTACAAATCTTAATATTCTATTTATAAATCAGATAAACGCTAATAATCACTTTCAAGGGGGAACTTTAATGAACAGTTGATCACCTCAAATTCAACAGACCAGACTCCCTTAAACAATCAGTCTCATTTATGATTTAAATTTCTTCAAACAATTTAACCTACAATATTAAATTCATTTTAATTTCTTATATTGCCTGAATTGACCAACAAACCTTTATAACTACCTAAACCACTCTACTACAGTCTAACAAATGCAGTTTATAGCTATAATGGAACTCAATTTCTCATAAATATTCCAGAATTACGTACAACGTTGTAGAATTATCTTATAGCTTTCAACTAAAAATATGTAACATAAAATCAATTAGTCAAATACATATTTTAATTTGGAATCACAAGGTCTGTTGTTTCTGTTAGGTGCCATCAAGTTGGTTCTGATTCATAGGGATCCTATGTACAACAGAACGAAACACTGCCGGATCCTGCACCATCCTCACAATTGTTTCTGTGCTTGAGCCCATTGTTGCAGCCACTGTCAGTCCATCCCGTTTAGGGTCTCTTAGATCCTCTAATTTACCAAATTCTCTTAACCAGTACAACCATTTTAAAAAGACATAGATTATTTCTAATTTAATATACGAGGGTTATACTGTTGGTTTGAGTTACCTTATCTTCTTTGTATTTGATTCTGAACGTTCCTGAAATGACACTTCACTTCAAATAATCGGTTTACTTTTTCAGTCTACTGCCTGGAGCAAGTTGGATTTACCAGCCCAGCCAACTAGGGTCGCTTATCAGTCAGATTTTTGGCTAGGAAATGAAATCTTTGGCTGCGTATGTTCAGGCAACTTTCCTGAGTCCCCCACCCCCCCCTCCCCCGTTAAATAGTTGCTGTGGCAACAGGAACTCCAAGTCTACGCCCTTTAAATGGAATAGTTTTTACAACCACCTTCTGGGGTCAAAATACATTATTACCCAATTCTTTTGTTTTGACTAATAACCTGGTTGCTTTATCACTTGCTCAGATTCCATCTCTGTGCTTCCTGATTGAATTTGGCACTTTTTCAAAAACAGAACTTGACTTTTCTGGCTGTTGGCTACAATTCTAAAGTTATTCCAATGATAGATGCCTTCATGATGGAAAATTTAGTTTTGTTTAATAGTGAACCCTCTGCTAGCCGACTGATCCTCCTCTCCCCTTATTTGGTTCCTCCTGCCCCTTTAAACTCTCTAAATCTCTGCTCATACAAAGCAATTTGGTTCTCTTTGGCACCTCCAGTTTCCATTCTCATATCCACCTCCATCCCCTACTTGAAAAATGCATCCTTCACGCTTAGCTCATTTAATCCTCACTACATCCGAAAACGGACTTATCATCATTCCCCTTTACAAAAGAGGAAACTGAGTGCACATCTCGATAGAAACCCAAGGTTCTCCGATTCTGCTCCACGCAGCTTCCTTGAAGACACTCCAAAGATTTAGCATGACTGACTGGTACTGATTTTCACAAATGGTCAAAATAAGATCAACAACCACCTCTCCCTCGGTTCCTTTAAGCCAACGTGGTTGACGTGTGGGAGAAAATCCGCGATCCGGATTGAGTATAGCGCCGCATTGGTTGGGAGACGGATGGTACTTATCAGCCTGGAGGGTTACTGTCCAGAGGTAACACAACGCCAAGAGTATCAGGCTAACCCGCGAAGCTACGAGAAGGAAGCCCCCAGCACTCCCGGGCAAGGGGGGTGGAGCCTGGGCGCAAAGGAGGGGGCGGAGCCACCATCCTCCAGTGAAAATGCCTCTCGTGGTGATTTGTTCTACGTCGCGATCCGTAGAGGCGCCGAGTTGCCGCCCCTTCTTTGGGAGCGGTGGAGATTCATCATGTGAGACTCCGGAGGCCGGAACTGGGCAAGTTGAGGGGCGCTCAGGGTTTGCGACATCGCCGCGGCCGCTGCAGGGTCTATGGCCGAGGCAGTGAGGCCCCCTCGCCGGGCCAAAGCCAAGGCCAGCCGGACTAAAGCCAAGGTGAGGACTTCTCTCTCCCTCCCCCGAAGCCCTGGCGTGTGCGCTCAGGCTACGCTTTCTTCTTCGACCCCTCCAGCTGACTCTCTGCGATTCTCTGAGCCGTTTTCATCCTCCGCCTCGCTTGCCAGTGTTTGATCCCACCACCCATTGACACTGGCCCTGCTCCTCTGTTGGCACCTTTCCCTGTCACACTTTGTGAGGAGCCTATTTATTTTTCTTCCTCTGCTGACCTCAGTGGGTTCTTCCTTTTCGATTCCTGCCATGAAGCAGCTTTTCTCCCGGTTCCATCTTTGACTCTTTCTTTTCCTCTATAATCTGGGAACGTTTTTCAGTCTCTCCCATCCCCTATGGGTCCTTTAGCAGAGCTTTATGGATAGCGACAAATATAGACTAGCTATGTGCTGGTCCTCTTCACTTCCAAAGTTCAGGATGATAGTGGTGCTGCTCCTGTTTTTCTCCTTCTCCTGGTTGTTTGCGATGGGGCACGAAGGTCCAGAAATTAAGCCAGGGTGTGACTCACACAGTAGAGAAGTACTTGAATCTTCTAGAATTTCTGGATTAAACTGAGATGTATTGATGTGGTTTTCAGTTGATCTGTTATTAGGGGCAGTCTGGATATTTATTTGTCCCTACATGTTGTCTAAAATAACATTTATTTTATAGTGAACAGATTAAATGCTTCCTCTGGCTGGTGGACCTAGATGGTTTTGGCTTTCGTGGATTTGAATTTACGTTAAGGAAGTAATGAAGATGGTATTACAAGTGCAGTCAGTTTCCTTTCCTAGAAGTGGGTGATGTTCTAGAGCATGTGTAACTTAACAATGATCCAAAACTCAGATTTTCTCATAGGAACAAGGTTATAACAGGAGAGTAGTACCATGTTTAATAAATTGTAAATAACTTATATAGACCCTTTTCTTTACAATGCGTTTTTAAAAGGCTGTAGTGGAGTTATGAGGAGTCCCAGGGTGGTGCAAACAGTTAAGCACTTGACTACTAGCTGATTGGTAGTTCAAACCCACCCAGAGGCAACTTGTAAGACAGGCCTGGTGATCTGCTTCTGAAAGGTCACAGCCTTGAAAACCTATGGAGCAGTTTTACTCTGCAACACATGGGGCAGCTATCAATCGGAATCAACAAGATGGCAACTAACAACAGTGCAGTTATGCACCTTAGTTTACCCAGGGCTGTGAGGAGGCACTCTTTTGCATGGTATTGAGCTGGTAGAAAGCTATCCAGAAGAGGAGGAGGAAGGAAAGCCATTTCTAGCCATTCATAAGACCCCTGAACCACAGTAATGCATAACATGTAAACATCAGTTGTCTGTAGAGAGCAAGATCTTAAAACTTTTAATTAGAGAAATTAGAAATATTAATCACTAGGTTTTTTTTCCTCCAAATAAATAATGAAACTAAAGCCTAGACAGGTTAATGATAAGCCCAGAGTAGTGCAGTTCATGAGAGGACTTAGGTTAAAGTAAAAAATCCTGACTCTCAGTCTAGAAACTTAATAATTATTTTATTTATCTATATTTATATGTCTTTATTGTCTGTGGAGCCCTGGTGGTGCAGTGGTTAAGAGCTCGGCTACTAACCAGAAAGCAGTTCAGATCCACCAGCCACTCCTTGGATACCGTGTGGGTCAGTTCTACCCTGTCCTGTAGGGTCACTGAGTTGGAATCGATGGCAATGGGTTTGGTTTATCTGTCTATAGAGAGAATGTTTAATACTTAAAAATGGTCAGTTATGAGGGTTTTTCTCTTAAGTTATTTTATTTAAAACAAGGTTTCTAAATCAAAAAATTAAAAATGTTAAACTTAAATCCATCATGAAAAATCAATTGTTCACTTTATTGACACATTTCAGGCAAACTTTCCTACACAAACATACATTATTTTGTTTTTATATTTGTAATTTTTATGAAGAAGTCTACATTTCAGAGGCATTTGGTCAAACAAGAAACATGCTTTTCCTCACCCTCCAAATTGAATCAGTCACTAAGTCTTGCCAGGTGTATTTCCTAAATATTTTCTTGATTCTGCCCATTTCTCTCAATCTTACTACCACGACCTTTCTCCAGGATACCGTCATCTCTGGATTTCTGCTAACCTGACCTTTCCTCATCATTCTTGCTGCCCATTCTCTGAACTGAAGCTAGATTGATATTTTTAAAACAAAACTGCTCAGGCCACTTTCCTGCTTAAAACCCTTCTGAGGTTTTCTATTATCCATAAGTTAGAGTCCAAAGTCCTTACCTTGGACTGAGAGCCCTGCATGATCTGGCTTCCATTTTCCTTCTCAGCCTGCCATCTGCCACCACTATCTCTTTTGATTTCCAACCATATGTGTCCTTTCCTGCTTCAGGGCCTTTGCCCATGCTGTTCCCTCTGTCCTGGCAGTCTTTCTGCCACTCTTTACCTAGCTCCAGTTAAACCAGTTGCCACTGAGTCCACTCTGACTCTTGACGACCCTGTATGTGTCAGAGTAGAACTGTGCTCCATAGGGTTTTCAGTGGCTGAACTTTTGGAAATAGAATGCCAGGCCTTTCTCCCCAGACACCCTTGGCTAGACTCAAACCTCCTACGTTTTGGTTAGCAGCCGAGCATGCTTTATTCATGAGGTCTTAGTTTAAATAATACTTCCTCAGAGAAGCTTTTCCTGATCACCCTCATGTTACCGCCTGCCCCCCCGCCCCAGTAACACTCTGTACCCCTTTGTGTCACTCATCTCACTTGTGGTTACATTGTCAACATTTCTCTTCCCCTTTAGATTGTGAACTAATGAGGGAGGAACCTACCTTGTTCACAGATGTATTCCCAATACCCTTCACAGCCCTTGTGGTCACTTGATAATGTTTGTTGAATGAAGGAGTAAATGCCAGTATTGAAGATATTTCCAAGCTTTGTCACTCAGAATGATTTACTCCAGAAAATTTCCTCTGACTTGCATGAAGACGCAAATGGAAAAAGTCCATGGCACCAGCAGGACACTCATGCTTGTTAGTCTAAAAAGTTAATTCTTCTTTCAGAGTAAATAGATTCATTTCCTAGTGCTGACCATAGTTTGGTCATGGTTATAAAGCCCTGCATTACTGAAACCTTTACCGTCTGTGGTATAATTTATCAACTGTGGAGTCATAAAGTGGTGGCCCAAGTCTCAGATCAGGAAGTAAATAATGTCATGTACTATTTCCTTTAGATAGTTGGAGAGGCTTCTGGATTTTACCAAGCATCTGACCTACGTTTTTCAGTGTTAATCATCTGATAGATGATTTCATCTTGCTAGCCTTTATTATCTGGTGCTTATCACCTGATATCTAAGAGATAGTCCTAATAACGTTTTCATTGTTTTAGTATCTTTCTCTGCTAAAGTATCACCCACCCTAGAGGACCCTGACTTTGCTAATCTTGGTAGACTATGGGTTAAAAAAGAGTAGATGCTTATATTTGGAACTACTCTGCAGAAGTAGTGTATTTTAAAGTTATATAAAGTATTTTTACAGTTAATATTAGCTTCTAAATGCCAACAACTCATTAATAGTAACAACTTATAGTAACTACTAAGGACAGACTGGGATGTGTCCTGGAAAGCTGATAACAGAAAGCCTTTTATAATTCTCATTCTCTCTTGTCCCTTGTTGTTAGTTGCCCTGGAGTCAGTTCTGACTCACTGTGACTCCTGTGTGCTACGTAGAACTGTGCTTCATAGGGTTTTCAGACTGTGACCTTTTGACAGCAGATTGCCAGGCCTGTCTTCCAAGGTGCCTCTGGGTGGGTTTGAACCAGTGCCTTTCGGCTAGTAGTCTAGTGCTTAACTGTTTGTGCTACCCAGGGATGCCTCTTGCTCTTAGCCTAGATGATTTCTACATTTTGGCTCCTCCCTCTCATGAGTGGTTATAGGAGTGAAGTTGGGTGATGCTGTACGTTATTATTTAGCTCCTTTTGTCCCTCCTATGGAGCCCTGCTGGAGCAGTGGTTAAGAGCTTGGCTGCTAACCAGAAGGTCAGCAGTTCCTCACAGAAAAAGACCAGACTTACCGGCTTGACTGAGACTAGAGAAACCCTGAGAGTATGACTCCTGGACACCCTTTTAGCTCAGTAATGATGTCACTCCTGAGGTTCACCCTTCAGCCAAAGATTAGACAGGCCCAGAAAACAAAACGAGACTAAAGGGGCACACTAGCCCAGGGGCAAGGACTAGAAGGCAGGAGGGGACAGGAAAGCTGGTAATAGGGAATCCAAGGTCGAGAAAGGGGAGAGTGTTGACATGACATGTCATGGCATTGGTGATCAGTGTCACAAAACAGTATGTATACTAATTGTTTAATGAGAAGCTAGTTCTGTAAACCTTCATCTAAAGTACAATAATAAAAAAATAAAAGAAAAAGAATCTGGATCAAGCTTATCAGAGGAAAAAAGAAAGGTTGGCAGTTCAAATCCACCAGCTGCTCCTTGGAAACCCTATGGGGCAGTTCTACTCTGTGTCACAGGGTCACTGTGAGTCAGAATTGACTCGGCGGCAATGGGTTTGGTTTTTTTTGGTGCCTCTTAAGAGTCATTGATTTGTTGAACAAATATCCATTGATCACCTTCTGTGTCCCAGGAACAGTTCTAGGCATTTGGTATGTAACATAGAAGAAGAAAAAGAATGTGGCCTTAATGGAGCTTAATTTTAGAGAGAGAATACAGATAAAGCAAACATAAAAAAAAAGATACAATATATGTTAGAAGGCGACCCATAACCCGTTGCTGTAGAGTTGATTCCGACTCATAGTGACCCTATAGGGCAGAGTAGAACTGCCCCATAGTGTTTCCAAGGAGCAGCTGGTGGATTTGAACTGCCGACCTTTTGGTTAGCAGCCAAGCTCTTAACCACTGAGCCACCAGGACTCTCTTAGAAGGTGAAGTGGTATGGGAAAGAAGAAGAAGAACAGGGAAAGGGTGTGGAGAGCATTGGTTAGAGGTCAGGATGGGTTGCAGTTTTAAGTAGATGGTCAAGATAG